TTTCTTTGGTCTTGCGACAATCATTGTTGCCGTTAATCAAAGAAAGACCGAAAACAATGAAGTCAGAAAGAGAATGGTTAGCTAGATTAAAATGGCGGGAAACTGGTTTGGTGGGATCRTTATTGCGAATATCATAAAGATGATTGCAATCAGTTTCCCGCCATTTATACTTGATAAAACACGATCTACGAGTTTTTTAACTGCTTAAAACACTCATGAACAATTTATAAGATTTTGGTTCAACTGGAGCCACCATACACGTCACGAACATAGATTTTTATACTTCGATAGAGATTTGACGTCACGGGCATGCGCAACCAAATTCAATAGAAGCTCCCACACGTTGGATATTGCGTGCCAAGGCAAAGACAGGCACGTTAGTCAAAGATCTTTAGGGTTGACTATGGCCTTGATGAAGCTCTATGTCTTCATCTAAACTTGGATGCATACTTCATACCTGATGAAGTCATCCTCATAGTATTCGAGTGGTCTTTATATAAAGATCACATGTGTCTTTATATGAAGACACATGTGTCTTTATATAAAATCACTTGAATACTAATGAAGAGGACTTTGTCGGGATAAAGGTTCATGCACGTGACGTGTATGGTGGCTCCAATTGGACCATAAGCTTATGAATTATTAATGAGTGTTTTAAATGTAATAAACTGTATGTGTGCACAAATCAATTTAATTTTATTTATAATATAGCCTCGATATAACGCGCGCTCTGATTGGTTAAATGGCGTGCGCGAGAGTGCAWTAACAAATCGATTTTGCACGCTGACGTGATTGAGTAGCGAGCAATATGTAGAAAGATTGCGTTAGAATAAAATTTAAACTGATTTCCATCAACAACAATTTTTTACGGTTTTGCTATGTCATAAAAGCATTGGTCATTGATTAGCGTGGTTTTGTCGAGTTTCCGGTGCACTGGGACGGTTGCTTAAGCACCCAAACATGACTCGATGGAAGCACGCTAATCATTTAACAATGTTATTAGGTTTTAATGTTGTTTTTTTCCAAAACGATCTTTCTGTCAAACACGCTTTGTTAATGGGAATAGTACGACGAATGTGATTCGTTTATTTGCCATAGTTTGGAGAATTGTTATTTTGATCATAAAGCAACAATTGTTCAAATCTTAAAATGTCTTTTGCTATCTGTAGAAAAGCAACAGAAGCTACGTTCATATCATGAATATACCGGTGAAACATACGTAGAGCACTTCGCCTTTGTCTCGTGATTTTTAAACTTATCTCGTGTTTCGCCCAACACTCTGCGTGCTCTATTTTATCGGGAGAGTCATGAAAATTAGCTTCTATTGCTTAAATCAAACACAATATGCATGATACATGCAATCTTATCACAAGAGTATCATTGTTCGCGCTGATCGGCCCGCATGTGTCGGTACATCGCAGCGCATGTCACCATTTTTTTCCTTATGCTACATATCATGGAACCTCCAATAAGCGTCGTGTCATATGTGGATAAAGTTATTTGTTGGTTCTTTCCTAACTTGCGAGGTTTTTTCTGCAGACTATCTGTTTGGCCTTAATTCCTAAACACAAATTACAGCCATTCTCAATCACACGTGCCGCTCTAGCGATTGTTTCTGTAGCGACGAAGAAGSTTTTCGTGGACGTCAATCAAGGCGTTCCCATGACATTTTATAGGCACGTGCCCTTATAGCTTTGTGTTTTCCGACAAAGCTGCAGCTCTGGTTCGTGAGGCTGAGAAATCTGTCCCTGAAATAGAAGTAAAATAATTTTGTATTTGACATCCTAGTCAAGCTATTTTATTTAAGAAAAATACCTGATCATTACCTCGTATTTGATTTTGGCGAAGCTTTTTACAAGAGACAAGGGCCTTCAAATGGCGTCGAAATTTCTCACTTTGCAAACTGTAAATAAATGGGTTGATGGCTGAGTTAAACATGATCAGAAGCATAGTACAAAGGGAATTTACATAACTGTAGTGTATGCCATAATGGTGAAGAGTATACATAATGCAATCAGGTAGCCAGCAGACTGCATAGATGACACTGATAATAACCAACATCTTGGTTACTCTTTTCCTTGACTTCAAAATCGCGCGTTGTGCACCTTGTACTTGGTTTTGCTTGAACCAAAGATCGTAGATGACTCTGGTGTACAGAACAAACATAATGGTGGTGGGAGTAATCCCTTCTAAAAGAGTCCACACAGTGCTGTAAGCTTTTGCAAGCCACGTATGCTCAGCTGGCCATATTTCCTCGCACCTGCCAAGCTCGAGGTCATAGTCTGTTGTGATGAAGGAAGGAATATTCATGACCAATGCAAAGATCCAAGTAAACATGACTATTTTCTTGACTTTTTCGAAGGTAAGTTTGAGCTTCATAGAGAAGGGATGCACGACCGCAAAGTATCTCTCGAAACAGGCAGCGACAAGAGACACTGAAGAGCCAACAGCACCAACCCATGCAAAGTTCCCTCCTGTGAACAACTTACACATCATTGTCCCTGCCAGTAGATCAGGAAGATTGAATTTATCCCCGAAGATATATTGCAGAGAGAAGAATGTCCCAACCATGATGTCAGATACAGCAAGGTTGACGAGAAGGTAGTTCATTGGTGATTTCATGGATTTATTGGTCAAAATGATCAGTATAACAAAGGTGTTGCCTATCAGGTCAGCTAGGAATAGGATAGATATTGTCGTAGTAACAGCGAGCTGGCCATGGAGAGCACTGTTGCTAGCGTACATCCCAGACATGTTGGACTATTCTGCATGAAAATATTAATAAAAAGTAAAAGTTTTGTTAAACTCTTTGTAGGCTTTGTATAATTTGATGAGGGTAGAGCCGACGAATCACGGAGGCTTGCTTCCATTCTGGTCCTCGATTGCTGGTCAAATTGCAATATGGAAATCGGTTTTTGTGGAATGAAGAAAACCAGAGAACTTGGAGATTAACCCTTAAACAAAGGAGAAAATCCGCAAACAACTCTAGACTAATTACATACGACGCTAAGCCCAGCAGAAATGGAACCAAGGTCGTATTGCAAATTGTTGGTCAGCGCACGCCACCCGTGGTACCATAAAAAAATTAAAAGCGCAATCGAATGAGAATTGGAAATGCCTTGAAACTTGGTTAAACTTAGATACACTCGATTGAAGAATCGTTGTCGGGTTCAGAAACATAGAACATAGAAGCTGAGACCGATATGGCACATGGAAAGTACGTTAATTAGATGCATGCTGTGACCGGCGAACCGTGGCTTCATCCACTATTTTTAATACGCGTTTGGCATTCTAATGGATGGTGCAAATGAATAAATTATAATATAATTATGTCATTTCCCATGTGCCATTTTGGTCTCAGCTTTTATGTTCTATGTTTCTGAACCCGACAACGATTCTTCAATTGAGTGTATATGGCTCCAATAGTCACCAAGCAACATATTGTTTTCACATTGAGAAGTGGAGGATAAAGAATCCTATTTTAGCTTTTAAACCCCAATCTCTTGGTGATACGTGCTTAAAATRCCGATTTTTTAAAAAATATATTAGTTATTGAAAGTCATAAAAATTCATCTAAATTCATCGTTAAATTAGTTAGCGACCAATTCTGATGCAACTTTTTTTGTCTACTGCATATTAGCAAGCAGTAGACACAATGCCATCGAGTTTACGCGGTTGTACTTCATATCCTATTTAACTAGCGAAAATTATAGCTAAATGACATATGATATTACTGACATAAAGCCTATCCCGGTGTAAGGGATGTAAAACGTCGAGTTACTTCGGATTTCACGTGCACAGCTAGCGGTGCTTAGCAACGATAGAAGATGTTATCCGAACTCGGCCGGCGCACTTACTGGTCATTTGCGACTGCTTACGATTCTTCGTCGACTGGGAAACGTTTTGCCGACGCTTCAAACCATAATTCGGTAGGATTCAATGCTTTCTACGAGGTAGTAATGAATTTTATCTGTTTTTGTTTTTGTTTTTGTTTTT